AAATATGAAAGTGCACAGAATAACTCGACAGCAAGTGTTCCTATTAAGTATTGGCAAGAGTCTTAGTCTTGGGAGCAGTGGATCCTTAGATGTTCATTGTTTTCCTACTCCTAGCTTTCTCCCTTCCTGCCTTGAAGGAGAACTTGAACTTTTATTATTCTAATTTAGCCTGAGCCTTTATTTCCTAATTCAGCATGCAGGGAGACTGACCTCCAAGGCACCTTAGCTCATATATATGTTGGAGAATATAATGGTGACCACTGACTTGGCTGTAGCGTGTTCAATGAACACTGTTTTGTTTTAAAACTGGAAGAACTATGTAACCACATGAAAGGGGCCTATAACACAAGGCATAAAAACCCCATAATCTCCTTGGCTCACAGTCTTAATGACTGGTCAGAGCTGTCTCCTTAGTTCTCTTTAGCTTCTTGAGCACAACTGATTGCCTCCACCCCCAACCTCCAATCAGCAGGTTATGACAGAAGGCCACACTTAAATTATTTTCCATTTCCATAGACATTCCTAGAAATAGCCAGGTGGACTTGGGTAACCTAGTAATTAAATGCCTGCTTTTGAAGTGACTATTTCATAACATGTGAAGACACTGGGGGCTCCAATGGTTCTAGCCATGCTTCCCTGCAGGCAAAGTGCTGTCCTTGCTGCTTGTAGGTGTAACTGAGGTTGCAAATACTCAGTATTATACAACATTTTTATTCAAGAATGGGAATACTTATGCATCAAATATGATGGGTTTTTTTTTTTTTTTTTTTTTTTTGCAAGTTAGAAGCAGCCTTCAGAAGTGTCTGCTGCCCCTAGAGGGGCCTTTATTTTTATACTTTTTTAGAGGTGTCTTTTCAGGTAGTTCAAAACTTCTTTAATATAAAATATGATGATTCTTTAATGTAATATGTGATTATTTCATAAAGTAACAAATTTCAAAGCACAAAATCTTGTTTGTGCTTGCACCCATCTCACTTATCCTTCTCTGAAAATTCCAGTACATGCCTTACTATTTAGTGGCATTGTAACTTTTTTGCCTGTTTTACCTGTGTCTTAAAGCTAGTGCCTCTTTTGGGCATACATCTCATTCACTGCTTCCCTTTCAAGCTTTTGCTAATTAGTTTAATTGCTAATTAGAGTAATAAATATCTTGTCCTCAGGTTATAAGGGGATATAATTAACTTCTTTAGCTTTGATTTGGCAGTTTTATCTCCATGTTTCTCAAAATCCTAAAGATTATATACCACTCAAAATTTAAACCTAACTAAAGGATTATTTAACTAAAAGTTTGTTATAAAATGATCCTCTAGAGCAGTGATTTTCAAAATGAGAATTGGGGTGGTGACCAAGACAGGTGGCCTGTCTTGAAGGGATACCATCTCCATATCCAAGCTAAACCCAGTCTCTTTCTTCAAACCTACCCTCTGGCCCCGGGCCTTCCATTTGCATGCATGGAACTGCTCTCTTCTCAGCCCTTGGATCCCCTTCCTCCTTTTCTACCACATACTGGTGCCTGTCAGACGCTGTGCATCGGTGCTGAGGGGCTTCTCTCTTTTTGCCTACCAACCTGGTCTAGTACATGGGTTTCTATCTCGTCTCTCCCTGCATCCTGCTCTACATACTGCTTGAACTCCCTGCTCTTTCTAAAGCATTGCCTTGATCTTCACCACTTCTCTGTTGGAGAATGGCTCCGGGATGATGCTTCTCAAACTTTTAACCTGGACCAGAATCCTTGACAAACTTGTTGAGACACCAGTTACTGGACTGCACCCCCAGAGTTTCTAATTCAGCCCTGGTAATTCCCTTTCCTAACAAGTGCCAGGTGCTCCCCAGACTGAGGACTTTGATTGTAGGATGAGCCTGTGCTCCTCAGGTTCCAGACTTCCTCCTGCCTGTCCATTTTGACTTCTTCCAGACTCTTCTCAGCCAAGGATCCTTGGAGTCTCTTTGGTCACTCAAGGGCAAGACTTGGGCTCCTTCAGAACAAGCTTATGTCTTGTTCCCCTGAATCGCATCTGCCCCATTTATAGCCATGAGAACCACTCTGCAGAATATAGGAAATAGTTGTGCTTTTTCAAAGATACCATTGAGAAATGCCATGAATGAGTTAATGTCCTGATGGGAGATAGTGTGTTCCATCCTAAGCAGAGTGCCAGGAGGACCTCACTGTGGACTGGCCAGGCTACCTGTACTTCTAGCCGAGTCTCAACAGTCTAGTGAGTTGGGTCAGTGGCCAGGAGGCATGAGTTATTTGTGGCAGTTGGCTCTTCTGCACCCTGTACACTTACTTCTTTTTCACTCTTCCTTATTTTCCCTCTTCTCTGTCATTCTGTCCTCTTCCCTGGTTCTTTTTGGTGGCTTCATAAGTTGAAGACGCTTCGGATGCTTACTATAAAACCACAAATTCCTTTTGATTTTAGTCTATTTGTTAAGGAAAATATATAGTTTATGGAGGATTTGTACTGTAGTTAGTGCATGCGGTTGGTAATGTGGTTAATATTTTACACATTCAGATATTTTTAATTTTTTTATTTGTTGTTTTTTAGATATACATGATAGTGGGGTGTATTTTGACATATTATACATACATGGGGTGTAGCCCATTACAATTTGATCCCATTCTTGTGTTGCACATGATGTGGAGTTACACTGGTCATGTATTTATATATGAGTATAGAAAGTTATGTCCAATTCATTCTACTGTCTTTCCTATTCCCTTCCCTTCATTCCCCTTTGTCTAATCCATTGAACTTCTATACTTCCTCTCCCTACCCTCCCTTCTTATGGGTTAGCATCTACATATCAGAGAGAACTGATTTTTTAAGGACTGGCTTATTTTACTTAGTATGATATTCTCCATTTCCATCCATTTACCAGCAAATGCCGTAATTTCATTTTTCTGTATAGCTGAGTAATATTATATATATATAGCTATAATATTATTATAGCTGTAATAATATAGCTGAGTAATTTTATATATATACAAAATCACATTTTCTTTATCCATTCATTTATTGAAGGACACCTAGGTTGGTTCCATAGCTTGGCTATTGTGAATTGAGCTCCTATAAACATTGATATGTCTGTGTCACTACAGTATGCTGATTTTAAGTCCTTTGGGTATAAGCTGAGGAGTGGGATGATTGGGTCAAATAGTGGCTCCATTGCACTCCATACTGCTCTCCAGAGTGGTTGTACCAGTTTGCAGTCCCATCAGCAATGTATGAGTGAACCTTTTCCCCTATACATTCATATTTTATAGGATCATTATTATTTAACTAAAAATAATCCTGGAAGTAGACATAGAATCTCAGAGATTAACAGTAATGCATGATACTATAAAGTGAAGATCTTTTTCTTACTTTGGATGCATGAAGAATAACTTCTTTGCTTTATAAAGTAACATGTTGTAATTAATAAGTATGTTTACAGTCATGGCTGTAATTATTAGAAAGTTTCTTCCAAGATAGAGAAGGCAGTATTATGATTAGCATACATTATTGAGTCATATTTATTCCATAAAAATATTATAAATCAAGAGTTAAACATGAGGGAAGGGGATATGGCTCAGTGGTAGAGCACTTGACTAGCATGTACAAGGCCCTGGGTCTCTGAGCTCAAGCCCTAACATTAAAAAAAAAAAAAAAGAATCCATGAGTACAGACTTCGTCACCACATTGGTGCCTCCCTGGATTGTCTGGTTCCAGCTGCCTGTCCAGACTGTCTGTTCTTTGAGATCTTGCTCTTTGACCTCTGCTTCATAAGTTTTTCCTATTTTCTTTCATCAGACCTTAAACAGGAAATGATCCTTTCCACTTGTGGACAGTGCTTTCTTGTGGTACCAGAAGTTATCGTATCACTGTATAATTTCCCTCACGAGTTTCCTGGCCATTGCACACGTGAAGGCCCTTTTCTGGAAAGAAAAAAAAAAAAGTCTCCATTATCAGTTGTAGTTGAGCTTTTGTTTATCAGTCTATAAAGAATGCTTTTGGGATTCTTGTGGATACCCCTAGCAGTAATGACCCAGAGGCTCAACAGCTGCTCCTGCTACCGCATGAGGCTAGGAATGGTTGTGTTATCCTGGATTAGGATCTGGTGTACATGGTGAATACACTCATGAGCCAGCAGATGAAGACAGATTAGAGAAGGGTGCTCAGCAATATCAAATCTCCACGCCTATTTATGTCTTCAATAAAACCAGTCTGGACTTGTGTCTGCACCTCTATATATTTTGTAGATGAAAATCTTACCTATCAGTGGCTCTACAAGAAACCAGAGTTCCTAATGGATTGTGTTGCAGTGAGCAGATAGAACAGTAGGAATGATCTTGAAAAGAACGCAGATGATAATATTACAGAGGTAACACTGAGTGGTGTGTCGTTTTCACCAGCAGAGTAGGCTTCTCCTCCGTCCTGTTGATGGCAGTGCTTTGAGGATTTTCACAGTGCCTGTCTGTGATGGTGGCAGTTTCCTTTTGTCCTCTTGCTCTCTTTAGCTGTGTCTGGCAGGACAGATGTTTGTAGATCTGTGAGCCTCTTGGCTTTTTGCTCAGTTTCCTGCCTTAGCTTTCCTTCCCTGGAGCCTGAACTTACCTCCCAGTGAAAGGCTGATTCATATTAGCACATCCACAAGTCCTGCCTGTCATTCATTCAGCAGATACTCATTAGCATGGATGATGGGGATGCCACGGGGGGCATGTGAGCTTTTCATTTCATTTATTTATGTTTAATTGACAGATAGAAATTGTATATACTCATGGTGGACCCTAGAAGGAATAAGTTCAGGAGTTCTGTTTTACAATATGGTGACTATAGTTAATTATGATGTATCATATATTTGGAAATTGCCAGAAGAACGGACTTGAAGTGTCCTCACCCCAGATGATAAATATGGGAGGGAATGTACATGTTAATTAGCTTCATTGAGCCATTAAAACCTCATGTTGTAGGCTTTTTATTTTTTCACCTCTAACATGCTTCTCTGCCTGTCTTCTTCAATAGGGTAGTGATGGTGCTCGAAGGTCCGCACTTCTTGACAGTGATGAGCCTTTGGTGTACTTCTATGATGACGTCAGGACGCTATACGAAGGTTTCCAGAGGGGCATTCAGGTGTCAAGTAAGCCTCCACTGCATTTGTGTGACTAATACTTAAATGTTGTTCACAAAGAAAGAGTTACCTTCTTTTTCCAAAAGGAACATTTGCTCTCATCTCTCACCTACTTAGCATTGCTCAAGCCCCTCTGTCTCTTCCTGTAGCTTGTCCAGAACCAGCCCCAAAGCTCGCTGGACCCTCCAGGTGTTCCCTGTGGTCCAGGAGGCTCCACAGCCAAATAGGTCCCCCATTTTATGGAGAATCACATGTGCATGAGCTCCTGAAAGACTCTGAGGTCTCCTGCAGTAAAGAGTTTGATGAGGTCAAATCCAGCACTTTTCAAGCAAGACTGTATTTTGAGAAAGAAATACTGACATCTCAAGGAAGAAATACTGACATCTCAAGGAAGCAGAGTTCTGTAAAAAGATACATTGGGAATGGGATTACCACATTGGCTCATAAGATTACCCTTAATTATTAACTGTGATGTTAAGAATCCTACTTCCTTTCCAACCTCTCTCCCTTGAATATATCCCTCAAGCAAGACCACCTCTGTTGACTACCACCTGCAAGACTCCGTGCATTTTTTTTCTTCCTGATCATAAAGCCTATTCTTTCCACCCCCATCCAGGGTTGATGAGGTATTTTCTCCCCGCAATACTAGCAATTGAATCCAGGGGAGCTTTATCACTGAGGCATGTCCTCCGTAGCTCTATAATCATCAAATCATCATCATTATTTATGTTGAGACAGGGTCTCGCTAAGTTGCCTAGGCTGGCCCCAAACTTGTGATCCTCTTGCCTCAGCCTTCTGAGCTCCTGGGATTATAGATGTGCACCACCACGCCTAACTCATGAAGTATTCTTATACGTCTTTAAAAACTCATATTGCACTTCACCTGTTCTGTAAAATCTTCCTGGTTTGTTTTTACTCCTTGTGCCCAAGTAAGACACATCTCTGCTTTTCCCTCCCAGTACCTCATGCCTGCTTTTGTAGTAAAAACCTCATGGTACAGAGGTGTTTACCTGGCATCCTGCTGCCCCATCATCCTGTGCTCCTGGAGAAGGGGCACAGTGAGCCCTCAGTGAGCTCTTCTGTGACCCATGTATTACAATGTCTGCACACAGTGGACTCTCCATTAGTGTTTCCTCCATGAAGGAAGGAATGCCCTATTTTGTTTTAGTCATTTCATTTTTTCTGCTTTTACCAGGTTCCTATATAGAAATGGTTTCTGGGATCCATGCTTTGTTATTTAAATCTTTTGTTTGTTAGCTAGATTGTAATCTTCTTAAAGTCAGGGACTGGGGGATATTGCTTTCTCTATCCTCCATAATCCCTTGCAAGCAATATGCACTCAAGAAGTACCTTGTTTTTGTTTTTTTTTTCTTCTTGGTACCGGTACAGTTGGATTGCTCAGCTCATTGCATTGAACCTAGTCCTATAGCAGGTTCACCAAGCTCCACCACAAAGGGAAAGCAGACTTACCTGCTTATTATTTAATTTATGAGCTTTTTGAAAGTTAGTGTCAGAGTTTGTCTGTGATAGTAAATATCCACAACAAAAAGAGCAGCCAAGCATAAGACCTCATAAAAGTATGTGTAAAAATATCTATATTTTCCCCATTGTTTGCAATGAATGGCACTCACTTAGCACAGTGTACATCTGACAAATTGAGTAACTTTTTGTTGTTGTTGTTACTATGCTGTTCTTGGAAAATGAAAGTTCTTCTATATGTGTTTTGGAGAAAAAGGAAAATAAGTTATCTTCTTCATCTATACTGATTAAAGGAAGCTACTTTGCAAGTCACTCTCCCCCCTCCCAGGAGCTTTTTTTATATATATATATATTTATTTTTTAGGTGTTGATGGACACAACACAATGCCTTTATTTTTATGTGGTGCTGAGAATTGAACCCAGGTCCCGCCCGTCCTAGGGGAGTGCTCTACTGCTGAGCCACAATCCCAGCCCCTCTGAGGAGCTTTATATTCCACACTTCAATTTTCTTGGGCTGCTCTAGGATTAAAGTATAAAGGAAGAGGAAAATCTAGCATTTGCATAAGGTGATCAGAAGTTTATGGGGTGATGGGAGAAGCCAGCCTAACATTTTTAAAAATTGCATTTTAAAACTGCACTTAGGAACCTATTTGTAAAGGTGAAGTTCCCTGTTTATAAAAGCTCTTATCTAGCTGGGCAAGGTGGTGCATGCCTGTAATCCCAGAAACTAAGGAGGCTGAGGCAGGAGGATCGAGAGTTCAATGCCAGCCTCAGCAGATTAGCGAGGCACTTGGCATTGATTTTTTAGCAACTCGGCAAGACCTTGTTTCTAAAATAAAAATATAAAAAATGGGCTGGGGATGTGGCTCAGTGGTTAAGCATCTCCGGTACCATTAAAACAAAACAAACAAACAAACAAAAAAACCACTTACGCCTAGGTGCAGTTTAGTAGCACTTGGGGACACTAGAAAATGGTAAGGCCCAGGCCTCATCCTCATTCATTTATATCAAAGATTTTGTTAAGTAGGCCCAGTATATAGAACATTTTTTAAGTTCTGCAGGTGAGCCTCCGGCTTAACCACCACTGTGCTAGGGCTGGAGTCGGCACGCTTTTCCTGTAAAGGGCCAGACAGTAAATATTGTAGGCTTCTTGGGCTCTCTCACTGCAGACGGGCAACTGGAGCCTCAGACAACATGTAAATGAATGAGTATGGCTGCGTGCCAGGGATACTGCATTTGCAAAAACAGGCAGTGGCTGTAGTTTGACCTGGCTCTTGGCTGTAGTTTGCCAATCTTGGTTCTTGAGGAATTAAAATAATGTCATTTTTTATGGTCAGTGTATTTTTCCCCCATCTGAAAGCAGCATCTGATAGAACTTGTTAGTCTTATACTGCCCTGACTTTGTTATAGTCTCTGTAAATTGAAGAGGGTCTGAGAATAAGCTCTTTCTGTTTTCACTAGGATGGCTTTTAGGGGTGGCAAAGAAGTCAGTGTCCAGCTTGTGTCTGCCCGTCTTCATGGCTGGTACTTTGAACTCCAGGGTATACATCCAGGTCATTGGGACCAGGTTCCTTCCTTCCCTGTGTTTGCTAGTCCCCAAAGCAAATGAAAACACCTTTACACATTCAGACCTGAAGCAGTGAAGCTAGGTGTGTAGTGATCTCTTTCTGCTTCTTTGGTACCTACATTGGAATCAGAACACATCCTGATACTTCTTAACTTTTGTTTTCACAAGTGCACCTTTATTACCCCTCACGTTGCATCTTCTTCATTCAATCAAGACTTCACCCATGTGATTAGGGTTCCACGTGAGCCTAGCTGATACATTTGGTCATCAGAATTTGGGCACATCAAAAATGGTATTTTCCTTTTCATATTCTGAGTTAGGAGTTTAAAGTTGAACTTTTAGAAAATATCAGGAAGAGCTCTTCTTGAATACCTATAGCAAGAGCTGAGGTTGTGGCTCAGCGGTAGAGCGCTCGCCTAACACGTGCGAGGCCCTGGCTTCAATCCTCAGCACCACATAAAAATAAATAAAAATATTGAGTCCAACTACAACTAAAAAATGAATATTTTAAAAAAAGAAAGAAAAACCTATAGCAAGATCTACTTGCCACTTGTTTACTGACTCCTAGTCTAAACCAACAGGGTGCTTAAAGAGAATTTCATAAGTTTGTCTTTAAAAGTAATATTTGCCTTTTCTTTTCTATTTCTCTCCCTCTCCTTCCTTATTTAAGAAACAAAGCAAATAAACAAGCACACACACACACACACACACACACACACACACACACACAGAAAAAAAGAATCAAAATGCAGGAAGTACACATTTCTAACCAGAAATCCTTGTTTCTAATTTGAAGGTTAAAGTAGATTCTACCTTATATTTTATAGAATAAGATAAGACGCAGATTAAAACACAGGAATATTTATACATATAAGCCATCTTGCTTTATTGTTGTTTTTTCCTGTTTTAGATGATGGCCCTTGTTTAGGCTCTCGGAAGCCAGACCAACCCTATGAGTGGCTTTCCTATAAACAGGTGAGTTCCACACTAAGAGCTATTCATGCATGCTGTAGAATGAGCTTTCCAGGGCTGGGACGTTTGTGCATGTGCTGGACTAGCTCCAAGCTTTTGGATAAACATGGAGCATTCATGGAGAAACTTGACACAAAGATTCAGTGGGAAAACGTGTTAAGTAATTTAACTGGTGGTCTAAAGCACTTCATTTTAAAACCAGTGCAGATGCATTGTGAAATGCACTATCATTTAAAAAAAAAAAAAAAAAAACTCTAGAAACTACCTGAAGCATGTGACTCCTCCCCAGACCTCTGGGGAAGTAGGATTACTTCTCTCTGTTTGAGGGGTACAAGTAAATTTAGATACCCCAATAGGGAATATCCCTCTCATTTGGTAGACATGGAAATCATGCCCTAGGAAGAGATGTGACTCACCCAAGGTCACAGCTGATCAGTAGCAGAATCAGGATCAAAAGTGAGTCTGCAGCCAGCTGTCCTTGGTCATCTCTCTGTGAGTGTGGCATTTAGCCCCAGCACTGCTGTAGGGAAGATCACAGATGTTCAGAGAAGACACCTGCCATACTACATGAACACAAAGGAACTGGGGTCTGGGTATTTTTACTCTTGTCACTATCTAGGTGCCGCTGACGGGTGGCTTTAACTGTTCAGCAGTTTGTGAGTATGAGCGACAGGTCACAGAGCAGGAAGCCATTACTTTTTATTTTTGTTATGATTGCACCAAATCTAGATGTCATTGCTTTTCCCTGGTCCAACCCCGGGGACAGGCAGGCACAGCTGCGAGCATTTGTTTCCCTCCAGCTGTCCAGGAAACGGCTGTCAGTCAGTCAGTCCCTGGGCTCCGGGTCCCTGCTCCAGGTCTAGGTCAACTGTGACAATTCATGAATACAAATTAATTTCCTCCCTCTATGTTTTGTGCAAAAGGTGTTTTTAGTAGTTGGTCTGTCTGAGGGTGTGTCTGTAAAGGGAGTTGTCATTTGGAACCGCAAAGCACAGCCGCAAACACAGGGTTACTTCCCTCCTTGGAAAGTGCAGGACTGCGCAAGGCTCCTCGGTTGGAGTATTTGTCTCTCTCGAGAGAAAAAAGATGAAAGGACTCACCACACCTCGCCCAAGGAGCTGTAACTCAGGTGACCCAAGGGATTTCCCTGTTTTTATTTTTGCCTGACCAAAGCCAGAAGGTGGTTTCCTATCCAAATTGTAGTTTCCAAGATTCCTCGTTTCCACAAGTGGTTGAAAAACATGGTTTGTGTTGGACCCATAACACAGAATTGGTGAGCACTTACTGGATTGGCTGGAAGAGAGATGAAATGTCCATTGCAGATTGGGTTTTCAAGGCAGATTGAAAATCACCAGGGTTTCTCAAGGTGTTAATCTCTGATTTGAACATTTCAGTCAGAGACTGGTGAAGACGTAAAACTGGACTTAACTGAAGCCAATTTGTAGATTTAAATCGTTTCGTTGGTTGTTTTTTTTCCCTTTTACTAGCTCAGTTAATCTGACCTTTTTAAGTTTAAGAATCCCTCTGATATCTTTTAGAAGATAAGGACCCATCTTTCTAGAAATAAAAATAGATGCATATTGTCTGGATAAACTCTGCCAGCAATTGCAGGCATTTCTCAGGTTCCAAGCCCTTAAATGCAACCAAGAGCTGTGAACGAGGCCACAGAGTAGAAGGTACTAAGCCTGTTCATGGCTACCCTGCTGTCACCCCAGCTGTGTCAGTCTGATTCCCATTGGCAGGGCTGGGATGGCACCATGTGTCAGATCCAACAGGATTCCTGGCAGGGACAGGTGTGGCTACATTTCCTATGGGCATGGGTGTGCTTTGAAAGTACTCTTGAGAATTCATCAATTGAGAATAAAGAAAAGAATGCCAAATATTAAGATTTAAAAAAAAAATACTTAGTTAATTGGAGGTAGGAAAGGGGAGAAAACAAGCTTGGGTATATAGCACTGGCTAATTTTTGTGACTCTACCTAGTTTTACTTCTTTGTCATAATAATATGCAAGTTTGTACTTATGTTGTTTATCACTGTTACTAAAACTACCCTGTTTGATAGGTTTCTCATGTATTTACCTAGCTATGTTGCATTTCCTTAGGGATTTACCACCATTTACTTAGCCATCCAGTCACTGGTTTCCCCACCCCCTAGAGTTTTTTAATAATATATATTTTGAAATATATATCTTTGTATGTAAAGCTTTATAAAACTTCCTTCTAAAATTGAATTATTTACCAAGAATAAATTCTCAAGAATGGAACAACTGAGTCCAGGGATAAGAGCTTGCTGTTATATTTTTTTTTAAGTCTCAAAAAACTTGCTGCTTCTGTTTAGAACAAAGGACAAGTTTTGGCTACTTTGTTGTTCTTTATAAGCACAAAAAAGCAAAAACAAAACTATGTCCCTGTATTGCTTCTGCAACTTTGTAAAAACTAAAATAGAAAAAAGAAATAGACAAGAAGCTAACATCTCATCCTCTGTGAACCTGCCACAGTTTAAAGGATAATAATTTGCTTTGCAGAAGGAACCTTATGATCAGTTTTTACATTTTGCAAAAATTTAAAACAAAGAGCTACCTCCCCTTTTCTGCTCAGCTCTGCTTTCTGACCGAGATACGAGTCTGTCACCTAGTCAGCTTTGTTCCTTGAGAGGGGACCTGATTCTCTTTTCTGATTTATTTATTTTTCCTCCTCATTCATTTCAGGTGGCAGAAATGGCAGAGTGCATAGGCTCGGCGCTGCTCCACAAGGGATTCAAGCCCTCTCCAGACCAGTTCATTGGCATCTTTGCTCAAAATAGACCTGAGGTATTAACCGTTAGCCACTTACTGGACAGGGGTTTGAAAGTCCTAAACCAAGGGTAGGAGCCAGAATTCACACCTACTTCTACTCGAGACCAGATTTTGTGATCTGATTTCTGCTGAGAATATGACATTGTGTAATGCCTTAGAAAGTTAAATGTACAGAAATCTAAACCAGGGCTTTCTAAACCTTTAAAAGAAAAAAAAAATATATATATATATCCATTTACCCCATTATTATTCATTTTTGTCTTTATTTTTCAAAACTGGATCACCAAACAAAATTCTTAGAACAAATATCTAACAAAGTCTTCTCACTTTAAAGTTTACATCTATGATTAGAAAAATAGCACTAGCAAATTATGGAGAAAACTTGAATACATTTTGTTAATAGAAACGTCTTACCCTTTTTTTTTTCTTTTCTGAAAGGTCTGAAACTTTCCCTCTGGTCAGATTTCAAAATTGAAAATATTACAGGCCCGGGGGAAAGTACCTCCCTATGAGCTAGCCTTCCTGTAGACACGCAGCCTGTTATTTGGCTATCAAGTCCTGTGCATGGTGCTTCAGGAAACCATTGTATGAAAGTGAATTTAAATGAGAGGCCCTTTTATAGGTGTTGCTTACATTGTTAGTCAACAGAGTAGTGGCACAGCTGGCTTGGAAAAATTTAAGCATCTGGCTTAAATCAAATGTATTCTTATACCTTCTTGAGTCCAAAAGCATATTGGCTCAATCCCTGTTCTACTTCCTATTTTATAAATTAATGGCTTCTTGGGGGTTTTATTTTCTGCCAAGAAGAAAAACAGCATTCTCCACAACTGAACTGTGGCGAAGCTCATGGAATTTGGTTTCTTTCATTACAAATGAACACATCCAAAATTTTTGTGTTAGTGGAATTTTATCATGAATATGTAACTGCAAAACTTATTCCTTACTTCAAGAAGTAGACTCCTGGGCTGGGGTTGTGGCTCAGCAGTAGAGCACCTGCCTCGCACATGCGAGGCACTGGGTCCGATCCTCAGCACCACATTAATAAATAAATAAATAAATAGATAAAGGTATTGTGACCATCTACAACTAGGAAAATATTACAAAGAAGAAGACTCCTTTCTATATTTATGAGTTACTTCAACTACCATTTATTGAACACCTACTATATGCCAGATACTGTGTGAGGCACCAAGGCAACAAAGCAACTTGGATCTTTTTCCTACAATACCATAAAAGGGAACACAGACCCAGAAGAAGAGGCTTTAGCTGTAATGTAGTAACTGTGGCCACAGGACAGGATTATGGGAGGTCAGTCAAGAAGGGCTTCCTGGGGATGATGTCCAAGTAGATACTTTAAGGACATAGTGGTGAGGGGGCCAGAGGCCTTCCAGGAACAACATGTGTTCACATCCAGTAGCATGTCTGTGTCAGAGAATGAAGCCCTTCACGGTGGTGGAGTTTGGAGTGACAGGATAAGAGGCGGGGAAGTGAGGGCCGTGTAAGGCACATGTGCCTGAGGCGCTTGGACCTGACCTCTAGGCTAGAAACTTAACATCGATTCCAGGAAAGAGCAAAACCCCCACAAAATCCTACTTCCGGGTCAAGTGAGGGCGAGCGCTTGTGTTCCCTTCCCACGCGGCTGTGCCTTCATCTATGTCCTGTGTCCAAGTCCTGCAAATAGTTTCATTTGAAAAGTACAGCCAGAGGAATTGGGGTGCCCCCCCCCGGGTCATAAGTGAAAGAGTAACCATGTTGCACTTGTCTTGAAAGTAGGTCAGCTGCCCTGGGGCAGATAAGTTTAGTGGCAAGATGACCAGTTACTGTATCATTTCTTTCCTTCATCACTTTTCTGGAGAAATCTTGTCAAAATAAACACACATAGGTGTATGTGTGTCCTCCTTCCCCTGTTCCCAAGCACTGCTGCCAGGCAGAACCTCCTTAACCTCCACAGCCACTGTTTGGCCAAGAACCCTTCGTGGCTCTGCAGGGCCTATGGACTAGAGCTGGACTCCGCCAGAGCGCAGACTGACCAGCCAGTGCTTTTGATCATCTATTGAAAGCCTTTGTCATCCTTTGTCCTTCTCCCAACCCGTCTCCAAACTTTGCATCTTTTGCAAAGGGCAGACTCAGGTTCCTCCTGGTAAAGGTCTCGGCAACTTCCTAGTGCCTGTGATAAGCATTCTCCAATGAGTCACTCACTGTCTTGTACTGTCAATGACCTTTCTGCATTTGCCTCCATTCTTCAGACAGATTGTAATTTCTTTCTTTTTTTTTGGACACGATGTCTTTATTTATTTTTATGTGGTGCTAAGGATCGAACTCAGTACCTCACATGTGCAAAGCAAGCGCTATACCGCTGAGCTACAGTTTCCAGCCCTGTCATTTCTTTTTAAGAAGGGAGCAAGTGTTTTATTTCCATTTGAATCCCTTATGGCACCTGGCACAGAGTAGCAGATACACAGAGTATTGTCCTCCCTAGAGTGATTGCCATATGACATCTCGGTTTCTCTCCCCATCCTTTGCTGTTTAGTGGGTGATTATTGAACAGGGATGCTTCACTTACTCGATGGTGGTCGTTCCCCTTTACGATACCCTTGGAGCTGAAGCCATCACGTACATAGTCAACAAAGGTAAGTCTGTGACCTTTGGCTGAATACTGGCCTAGTTACTGGTTAAATTCAGTGTCTCTGCAATTGCACATCTGGTTGGACAGAGGTTTATGTTTATATATATGTACTTTTCCATTCAAAGGATGCAGCACTTACAGTATCCTTGTGTCCGATACCATGCGGTCGAGCTTTTGGTATCCTAGAGCTTATTCTTGACCATCCCTCTTTGTTTACAGCTGAGCTCTCTCTGGTTTTTGCTGACAAGCCAGACAAGGCCAAACTCTTACTGGAGGGTGTAGAAAATAAGTTGACACCAGGCCTTAAAATCATAGTTCTCATGGACACCTTTGGCAGCGATTTGGTGGAACGAGGCAAGAAGTGTGGCGTGGAAGTCATTAGCATGAAGGCAATGGAGGTGAGTCCCTCGCCCACCCCACTTCTCTGAAGGGTTAGGCATGACATGCAGTGCCACCATGCAGTCCCCATGCTGGCCAGTTGTCTTTGCAGCCTGGTAAAGACATAAGGCAGAAATTCCTTCTTTTTGGTACCTGGGATTGAATCTGGGGGTGCTTAACCCCTAAGCCACATCCCCAGCCCTTTTTAATTTTTCTTTCTTTCTTTCTTTCTTTCTTTCTTTCTTTTTTTTTTTTTTTTTTAATTTAGACACAGTGCCTCTCCAGGTTGCTTAGGGCCTCAGTAAGTTGCTGACACTGGCTTTGAACTTGAATCCTCCTGCCTCAGCCTCCCAAGCTGCTGAAAATTCAGGCGTACACCACTGTGCCCAGCTAGAAACTCCCATCTTATCACTGAAAAGAAGGATTCTGTGGCATGCCCCATGTTAGTAGTACATCACATCTCACAGGAGTTCTCACTCAGTGAGTTGCAATGCCCGTATTTATTCCAGAGCACTGGCAGGCCATGCCAGTCAATGCCAGAGCTATGAATTTCAGCGCAAGACAGTTGTGGAAGTTTTAAGTTTGTCTTCTTTAGCTTCAGGGTCTTTTCCTTACTGATTTGTCTCTGAAAGTGACCCAGATACAGAAATCTGCCTCATGGTTCTTTTCCCCAGGTTGACTATATTATAGAGTCGTGGTGAATTTCCAGCATAGATGTTTGATTGGGCTTGTTTTCATACTCAGGATCCACAGTAAGCCCAACTTTATAAGTAACCATTCTAGGAGAGTGAGTGTGGTCCATGTGAACTGATCCCTCCAATTGGACTTGGATTAGAATTCAAGGGAGCTGGCAAGAGAATGTCTCTTTTCACACATCATAGGAAATAGTAGGCTAAATAGAGTAAGTCATGCTCTTTCTCTGAAGACATTGTAAGTATTTTTATGAAACTATTATAAATAGGGTTTTAAATTTTTATTTATAGTTCTCTCCCTTCTACAAAGACTTCGGGGCTACAAGGAAGGACCTAGAGAGCCTTTCCTGAGGAATCTTGCAGTCGTAGGGAATGTCATTGTTCTAACAGAACCTTCCACCTCGTGTGTACACACACACACACACACACACACACAAACACACAAACTAAAACGCTGAGCAACCTGCAACATGACTCCATATGCATTCATAGCTGTGCTTTGTGGTTTAATTGGTGTTTTAGCTAACTTTTTACCTAGCATCTCCCCACTTTTCTTTTTTTTTTACTTATAACCCCCCATCTTCCCTTCTATCTTCTCCCCCAAGACACACACACAGAGAGAGAAGTAGTCTTGTCTTTGTGATTGCTGCATGATAAAAATTAATTTTAAGACATTACATCATAATATAAAGTTCATACTAAATCTTAGCTTATAAAAAACATTGTTTGACATTTACCTGCCTGATACGATTTGTACATTTAAAACACATTTTAAGCAAAAGATGACGGTTTGAAAACATGAATTTAAAATTAGGATTGTGGTTGATCATGGGATCAAGTAAAAGTCTATTTTTATCAGGCCAAACATAGAAACATTGGCATTTGGAAGGTCTGCATTTTTTTCAGTATTTTAATTACAAAAATATAATTGAAAGAAGTATACAGGAGAGAGCCAGCCATAGTCCCATCGACAAGAGTTTATTTATTAAAATTTCAACAAATTTGCTATATCACATAGAATTCTATCAACCCTTTGCTGTACACATTCATCAATACATTTTTTATGCATTTTCAGTAGGTTACCAATTTCATTTCCCCTAAATACTTATAGAGTGTTTATTATTAACTGGAACTCAGGTTTATTTATGGCTTGTTTTTAACTTCAAAATGGCAACATTTTTATTTCTTTTATTTTTGGAATAATGCCTTAATTTTATTCATTTATTTTTATGTGTTGCTGAGGATCGAACCCAGTGCCTCATACATGCTAGGCAAGTACTCTACCACTGAGCCACAACCCCAGCCCTTGCTATATTTCTTTTAAATGATGACAAGGCAGAATTAAGGCTATGAAATGTCCATGGGAAATGATGCTCTAATTTATCCAAGATTTATCCCTCAAAAATAAAAAAGCCAAGTTGCTTTTTAAGGATTGCTTTATTTCACTTGATGTCAATTTTTAAAGAATTCAAGATCTCCAGAAGTTATGTAAGAATTTTGGATAGATGAGTAGAAATTTAGAGCTCATAAAGATTTATTTTGAAGAAAGATTTACAGAATTATCATTGCTTGAACTCCTACCTTACTTCTAATTGGATATCAACATATCTGTTTTTAATCGTCATCTTTCATGTATATAATTGAAAATGTGATTAAGATTTAAAATCCTGTGCCTGGTGAAGCCCGCTGAGCCTGAGCACACCCGTCTAATTTCCATTTTATAATAGACTGCTTGCTCCATGTGCTCACTCAAGCTGTTCAGTTTTAATAGGAAAAGATTATAAATAGTTCATTTTGGGAAATTAATGGATATGAAAGTGCCTTAATGTAGCAGACTGAGCCACATCAGCGATAGTCACTGGAAGCCTGCATTGGCAACTGCTGCATTCTTTTCTGAGGAACCTTTCTGTAGGGACCTTTGTGTCATTTGAGGAAGTGGTTTCTGTTGTGGTCTGATTTATAATGGGAGGCTCCTAAGTCCTCTCCACTCTCTGTGAGGGGAGTGCAGGTATTTGGACCTTACTAAAAAGGCTAGCAGCTAAATCCGACAGAGGTTGGTTTCTCTCCCCGGCTGAAGATGTCAGTTCCACAGAGCCAGGAGGTCAGGTGGTGCTGCACTCTGAATCAGGGAGGGTGCAGAAGATCTGCCGTTCTTTGGTTATTGCCGGGAGCAGGTCTTCTTAAAGGCCATAATAGGAAATATGAGTGAGCACCAAAATATCATTTAAAAAAGACTCTGATTGCTGTCTCTTGAATAAATTCTAAAATCTTTCGAAGGCCTATCCTATTGCCTCTTAAGTAGTTTGTTGTTGTTGTTTATTTTTATGTGATGCCAGGGATTGAACCCAGTGCCTGACACATGCTAGGCAAGCGCTCTACCACTGAGCCACAACCTGGTCCCCACTTAGGTAGTTTTATAGAAGAAAGGAGATAACTAGAAAATGGATTCTTAGAATCTTAAATATTTTGGTTCTAATTAATTAAAAGTACTATAGTTTATTTAACGCAATTATGATGTCTTTGAACTAGCTGGGAGTGCACTGCACTTCTCAGGAAAGGCAGCTTCAAATGACTTCATGTGACCTTACTCTTTATAGTTAAACAACAATTCCACTTAAGATTTTTTTTTTCTTCTCTCTTGTAATCAAGGACCTCGGAAGAGCCAACAAAAGGAAACCCAAGGTACGTTCACTGTTTTAGACCATGTCACAACCCTCATGTCTAGTCATATGGAGATTACTAGAAAGTTTGGGTGATAATTTATGTCTGATGGTTTTCCATTTTGATTTATACCATGTTTTTTTTTAATCTTCAGCCTCCAGCGCCTGAAGATCTTGCAGTAATTTGTTTCACAAGTGGAACTACAGGTAAATTTCAAGATGGAGTTGCTTCTGCGTGGTATCTGGAAGTCTGTACTCTCAATCCCCCTTTTTGAATGACTTATTAGCTAATTACAGGTGGACTGAAAGACAGCAAGAGAGACAGGTGGTTCAAGTGCTGTCTTCTTGTTGCTCTCTTTGATGTTCTTGGGGCCGTGTGTTCACACAGACATGTGTTGAAGGTGATGTTAGGGTCGCCCATCTTGCTAGGGCAAACTATTGGTTGGTGTCTCCTGGAAATAAAATTCTTGATTTGTCTTCTCTTACCGATACACACATCTGCTAAAATTTGTCTATATGAATGAGGATTGTTTAAAGATGACTTTAAGATAGTAAGTTTCGTTAAAAGGATTACAGGTTACTCAAGAATTGAATGTTACTCAACATTTGGCTCTCATGGGTGGATCTAACAGGAGAGGAATTTGAAACCTAAATTATACAGGGCTTCTACCATTCTTTGATGAAGTGCCTGTCCTTTGACTTTGTTCTGTTTTCTGTGTGCTCCGCAGGCAACCCCAAAGGAGCAATGATCACTCACCAGAATGTCGTGTGCGACTGTTCAGCTTTTGTGAAAGTGACGGAGGTAAAATTTTGGAGGGTGTCATCTCCCTTCACGTTTATTCACTGGCGTTAGGCCTTGGGAGTGGAAATGTGAAGGTGGCCACCCCCTCCCCAGGCTGGGTCCACCACGTATGTAGAACACTCTCTGAAACATGGGCAAGGTCTGAACTTCAGTAGGAACAAGGCCACCTTCTCTCAGATGGTCTTCCTTGTGGACCTACCCAGCTCTCACTTGGGAGCATGAAGGTGAATTGACAAATGGAATTACTACAGCGTTTACCTAGGTAAAACTATAGGATATTGTCCCGTAAATATTTCTTGGAAATGACAAAGGAGAAAGGGTCTCTTTCTGCTTTGATCCACCGTTTCACTGTTGGGAAAATAATTTCTTTAGGTTAGGAATGAAATCTTAAAGACTGCTGAAGGCTTTTGAAATCTTATTATTTATTGTAAGTCAACCTGATTCCCATTGTAGGAGAAAGACCAAAGCCTCAAACTTCAATTAATTGTCTATAATCTTCAAGTTTGCGATCCACAGGTCTTTTTTTTTTTTTAATTGGTTGTTCAAAATATAGTTTACCCAGGTTGTCCTAACATAGTATGGCAGACTGGGTGGCTTAAACAGCAGACCTTTATTCCCTAACAGTTCTGGAGCTAATGAATTTGGTTTCTGATGAGGGGCCTCTTTGGGCTTGCAGATGGCTGCTGCCTTGGTGGGTGCTCTCCCGTCCTCTCCCCTGAGCATGCTTGGAGAAAGAGAGCTCTGGTGTGTCTTCTTATAATACAACATCCCTACTAGATCAGGGTCCACCCTCAAATATGGTCCTATCAGGGCCCAACCTCCAAATACATGGAGGTTAGGTCTTCAATGTGTGAATTTGGGAGGGGGATATAATTCAGCACCTACAACCAAAGATCTATTTCAATTTTGTCTTTATAAAGGTACTTATATTGAACAATATAATGCCTTTCCCCCATACTCATTTTACATTTTGCACAATTTGTTTTTGCAGTCCCTTTGAGGGAATTCTGTAGCCCTAAATTTTGTGGCAGGTGCCTGTGCTTACTGGTTTTGGGGAGTGGCTACAGAGGTCTGATCTTTAAGGTCGCTTGCCACTTAATTTTACTCCACAATCACTCTCTTAGTCCCAAACACCTTTTTTTAGTGTAGTTTCTAAGCAGGGTTCAACATTTAGTACCTTAACAAAAGTGAAATTTTAGTTTCCTAATAGACCTTCAAACGTAATTCTAAAATGCATGAGTTTGTTGAGGGAATTGATTACAGAACTTTATTCAAAATCAGTTATACTATCAAGGGATGTTCTTAATTTTGTAAAACCTCTAATCCTGACAATGAACGTTATTTTTTAATTAAATCAGAAAAAACCCCAAAAAGTATGGATATTACTGAGTCTAATTCTCATTATGAAACATTTTCATAGTAAGAGATCCTAGTTGGGATGCAGGTCACACTCTAATACCATTAAGCTCACCACATCCAACATTTCTGGGGCTGCTGTGTTTGCCCAGAACCGGTGTTTTCACCAGTTGTCACCTTATTGAGGATAACTCAGCTTTGAAGAGGAAAAGGGCATTGTTTGGAAGGGTACATTACTTTCTAGGTATATGACACCCTTAATGACACCCTCATTTTTCAGTTGACATGGTACAGCTGCAATTAGCAAGAATTTATTGTGTTCATAATGAGAACATTCCAAGTACACCCTCACAGTGCCTGCCCCTAAATCAGGCCCTCTCTGAGGGATACCAGATGCCTAAACTTAATCTGTCTGTAGACCCATCATGATCAGAATGTTATGGGAGATCAAATTGCCGGATACCAGATCTGAGGGTGCCTTAAACAAATTGTGACATTTTCATGGGATAAAAATGTTTATCACACTCAAATTACTGTAGATATGGGCTGGGGATATAACTCAGTTGGTAGAGTGCCTGCCTTGCATGCACAAGGCCATGGGTTCAATCCCCAGCACCACAAAACAAAACAAAACAAAAATACTATAGATAACATTTGTACTATAAATAAAAGGATGTTGAACATCTTATCTCCCTGCCCCCAACACTTTCCCTTTGCACCATAATGCGCTATTCTATGTTGGAGTGGATTTTATATTTAAGGGGCATTTGAACTTGCTGGGTAGCGGATACTGTTATTCTGAAACGGAGCACACAATCCCTTAAACATCCCAATTTGGGCAAAATTTTCCTTACAAGAAAAAAAGTCCTGAAGCAAATGTACCTAGTCACTGAGATGACCTATACTCTATTTGCATGAAGGATTTGCTTTTCATTTCATTCTTTGGTGAGAAAAAGTTGTAAGCCATACGCAAAAAAAAAAATGATTCCTCCTGTGTTGAGGTACTGTGTGCTCTGAAAGGAAGTGGGCGGTTAATGGAAGTCTTAACGCTTCTCTGCTTTGCTGGTATCTCTGCTTTCAGAACGCAGTCACTCCTTCCACAGATGATACTCTGATCTCTTTTTTGCCTCTCGCCCATATGTTTGAGAGAGTTGTAGAGGTAGGCATTTGTTTTTGTTTAGCCTGCATGCATGTTTGTTTTGTGTTCTGCTAAGTTGTTGTGTTTTACAGAAAGTACTTGCCTTGGGTGCCAGTGACACACACATTTCGTTTTTACCACTTGCACACATGTATGAGCGCCTCATGGAGGTAAGTATGACGGGCAGGTTGCCGTCCTCCAGATAAGCCTTTTGCTCAGCCCCATCTTAGAAGTGGCGCAAATTATTGGAAACGGGTGTTAAGTTCTTTTTCTGTGTCTGACCTAAATACCTGAATCCTAATCCTTCATTTTAAAATTAGAAACTCAAGCTTTTAAAAGAAACTAAATATGGACGCGATTCCAGGAAGAGTAATATAAAAGGAGGATTTTTATTCATTCAATCTGACAGTCTCTCTGAAGGCTTCTGTTTTTGAAAGTCCATTTTTGATGGCGCCTGTTTCTGATGTACAAGTTGACTTAAGACCAACTTCTCGGCAATACTGGAAAAGCAGGATGATGTTTAACCAACATTTGCCTGAACTCCCTATATATAGCAGTGCAATTAATTTTAAAACTAACCAAGATCTATCTTTTTTTCCCTTCTTGGACAATTTTGGATTTTATAAGAAAAACAGTGGGTACCATTTTTCATTAACTGAATATTCATTGAACACCAGCTGTTTGTCGGCACTGTGCTAGGTGTTGGGGACAGTTGATTAATAGAGAGTTGGCACTTTGGTTGACTGCGGCTCCTAGGAGTTACTGACCCCCTAAAGAACGAAGGATCACCAGATTCTGTCATGCATTTGTTACTCCACGTCTTGCACACCTCGGAATCTCATGAGTTATAAAGTAATCTCAGATCAGTTACCAGTGCATTGTGTGACCCTAAATTTAGCCTCAGAGGCTGTGCTTAGGAGGCAGGCCTGAGCTTTTAATTTTTTGTCAGTGAACTGTGATGCACCTGTCCAGTGGTTTAAGCCAGAGAGTGATGGCACTTCCATTGCACCATCTTTTGAATCTCTTTTTCTTTTTTAAACTTAAAATAGGCAGACTCTGTGGCTTCCAGTGCAGTTTGAATGAGGCAGAGGGGAAAAAATCATGCCGTACACTGTAGCAGAATGACAAGCCACTCTGGCATCAGATTAGATATCCTGGCGTGTCAACTTCATATGCAGTGTGTTTGTAGAAATTTTGGATTATATTCAAATAAAAGAAAATGAGATTTTAGTCAGCCTGAACTGGAGATGGGTGAAGTTTTTTGAGAATAAAAAGCCCTGAAATTTCTGGAAGTCTAAAAATATTTGGAGTATGTAATATCATGTAGTTCATTCAACAGCTATTGATCCTTAAGCCAGGATAGAATCTCTGTGCTCATCATTTAAAACAACAGATCCTAGTTTCCTACTCATTCCTGTATCTTTGGGACGATCAAGAGAAATATACCGTACTTTGGTGGTGTTTGTACAATTAACAGTAAATGTGAAAGCACTTTTTAAGAAGCTGCCTATATTTAGAAGCTTTTAAGATTTCTGGAAACTGACTTGAAACACTAACACGTGTGTTTTCGTGCGTTGCCTTCTGTGCGCTGTGTGGCTCCTGCTGCAGCCGTAAAGCCCGCGTTGTTTCTGTTCACTCCACAGTGTGTAATGCTGTGCCATGGAGCTAAAATAGGATTTTTCCAAGGAGACATCAGGCTACTTATGGACGACCTCAAGGTGCTTCAGCCCACTATCTTTCCCGTGGTTCCGAGACTGCTGAACCGGATGTTTGACCGAGTAAGTTCCCAGCAGCAAGTATGAAGGCTGGGAGGCTGGGCTCGGAGTCAGAGGCTGGGGCCGAACTTGGCCTCAGCTCCCTACTGTCTCTGTGACAGTGGACAGTCCTTTTACTGTCACACAACTTCTGTTTATTCTTCTGTAATATTAGAGTCCGTTCACCTCGTGGAGCTGATAGTAGGAGTAGGAGAGAACACACAAGCGGTTTCGAGAAGGATGCAGGCGGGTGGTGGGAGGCCCTTTGATTTTTTACAGTCATGCCTCTGAGCATCTCATGCATGAAATAGACCATTCCCTCTTTTCCCTTTTGTCTGCCTTACAAAATTGCTAACTGGATCACACAAAAATAACAACTATGAAAGCTTAACCCCCCGTGCACGAATAAAGTATGACTTACGTAGTTCCACTGGGAAAAGTGATAGAACTGAGGTAGGGGCAGGGGGGTGCCAGCCCTCTGTGGCAGCCGCACTGCTGGGCAACAGCAGCGGCTGCCAGAGTAAGTTGTAACTGGGCAGCTTTAATAGTATTTATGAGGCAGGGCTTTTCCTATCTCTAAGGATCTTCTCTTTTTCTAAATTATTCTTGTAAAAAAAATTTTAAACAGCTTTATTGAGACATAAAGACTTCCACAAAAGTTCTACAACCAGCCAATTTAGAACACTTACATCACCTTGAAAAGAAACTCTTTACTCTTTAGTTGTCATCTGCCACCTCTTACCCCCATCAACCCCTAAGCAACCACTAATCTGCCTTCTAAATCTATAGCTTTCTCAGTTCTGGACTTTCAAATGAATTTAGAGTCATGCAGTATGTATTCTTTTGTGAATGGCTTCGTTCATTGAAGTGGTACATATTCATACATCATTCCTTTTAGTGGCCAAGTAATATTTTATTGTATGGATATAAACATTTTATTTAGCTGTTCCTTCATCAGTGGTCTCTTGAGTCATTTCCAGTTTTGGGCTGTTATGAATAATGCTGCTGTGAACATTGGTGTGCGCATTTCTGTGTAGGTGTGTTTTCATTTCTCCTGGGTCTGTACACCTAGAAGCATAGTTGCTGGGTCATAGGATAACTCTGTTCAACTGTCGGAGGAACTGGTGGATGGTTTTCTTCCCTCTTTCCTCCGTTCTTTGTTACATTAGTGGGGATTGAACCCAGGGCCTCATGCATACTAGGCAAGTGCTGTACCACTGAGCTACATCCCCAGCTCTGCCAGATGGTTTTCCAAAGCAGCTGCATTGTTTCTATCCCAACCAGGAGTGCAAGGGTTCCAGTTTCCCCACATCCTCACCAGCACTTGTTATTATGACTTTTTTTATTCACATCATCCCATAGTTATGAAAACCTTCTTATTTCTTGCTTCATTAGATTTTTGCACAAGCAAACACCACACTGAAGCGATGGCTGTTGGACTTTGCCTCCAAGAGAAAAGAAGCAGAACTTCGCAGCGGCATCATTAGAAACAACAGCCTGTGGGATAAACTCATCTTCCACAAAATACAGGTAACAAACAGACTTGGCTGTGGTTTCTCATGTAAACTCATTTGGGTTTCAAAATTTCTATGAGGGCTATTTTCTTAAAAGATATGAAGGCAAGGAAGAGAATGGTATGGTTTTATTAATTCTTTTTTTTTTTTTTTTTTTTTGGTACCAGGGATTGAACTCGGGGGCATTCAACCACTGAGCCACATCCCCTGCCCTATTTTGTATTTTATTTAGAGACAAGGTCTCACTGGGTTGCTAAATACCTCGCTTTTGCTGAGGCTGGCTTTGAACTTGCAAGTCTCCTATCTCAGCCTTCCCAGCTCCTGGGATTACAGGTGTGCTCCACCACGCCCAGTTGGTTTTATTAATTCTGATACATGTCTAAAGATTAAGGGCAAAGTCATGAAGTAAACCATCTCAGTGTCCAGGGTGCATCTATACAATATTGTAGTTAACTAGTGAAAAAAGATTCTTTTTGAGTCTCCATTTTTATTTGACCAAGTATGCCATTCTTGAGGTAATTATTTTTAAGCTTGAGTGATGAAGAATGTGCAATGACATTATGTCCCTCAGTAGTGTCCAGACTGGTAGTTTCCAAAAATCTGCCACCATCTTGTTTTAATTCCTTAAAGTACCTGCAAGGAGTGGCTTAGTTTCACACTTGTTGGGAATGAATGGGTTAATTCTGGGCAGAAACCAACAGGATTCCTGTGTGAACACCTGTGGGTTCTGTGTTCCCAGGGGGAGTCCCATCCAGTGCCACCTGCAGAGGAACTGGTAGGTTAGGGCACAGGGTCCCAGGCCGGTATCTCTGATGGAGGAGCCCACTGACTTCCAAATATGTAACCCTCACCTCCTTCTTCTCTCTCCACTTTGCAAGTCGAGCCTGGGCGGGAAAGTCCGGTTGATGGTCACAGGAGCTGCACCCGTGTCCGCCACCGTGCTGACGTTTCTGAGAGCAGCCCTCGGCTGCCAGGTGAGGCCCTTCATGCCGCTGGATCATCCCAGTCTTTATATAGCACCAAGTCCTCTTCCTTACCAAAAGTCAATTTGTTTCTCTTTGTGTGTGGTCAATTTTTAAAAATGGACAAAAAATTATATTTTTATGCTATAAGACATGTTTTGATATATGACTACATTGTGTAATGGCTACATCTAGCAAATTAACATACATGTCACCTACTATACCCTTTTATGTGTGGTGAGAACACTTAGAATCCACTTTCTTAGCGATTCTGGAGTACACAACATATTGTTATTAACTAGTGTCACTTTGCTGGCAGTAGGTCACATGAACTTTCTCCTCTTAACTGAAAGTTTCTGTCCTTTGACCAGTGTCTTCCCAGTCCTCCCCGCCCTCCACTTTGCGTCTGTATATTAAATTTGTTTGGAAGATACATTATTACTAGATTGTTTGGAGAAATAAGAGTATGTTGTAGTTGTGTATACGTGGTTGTATGTGTATACATATACATAACAAACATACATATATACACAAACATACATACATACATATGCATATACATATATATATATATATATATATATGTGTGTGTGTGTGTGTGTATATATTACCCTAGGCAGGGAATATGGATGGGCTGTGTAATTTTTTCTAGGATAGGACTCAGACATACCTTCAGATATAGGAACACACCTTAAGAGAGAAACCTGCCTGCAAACCATGCAGAGAACCTGTTTTAAAGGGGGAAGGCAGGGGAATGTAGTTAACGATAGGACATGTGCAGGTCACACGTATGAAGTGACGAAGTGAGAGTGCTCCCAGGTGAGGAGTGACCAGTCACAAGGAGGTCTCCTTTGCTTGTCCTCATGGTCGACGGAAGACGGCTGGTGTTTGGCATGCAGGGGAGGGGGAGATGTTTGGGGGCACGTTGTGCTCCTGGGTGAAGTTCACTTCACAATCAGCCATTACTCAGGAACTAGTGGAACTGGATTACTTGTGCACTTCCTGCAAAGGCTTACTGTCCCCCCCTTAATAATGTCTGCTCTCTTGGTGACCCAGTTCTACGAAGGCTATGGACAGACTGAGTGCACGGCCGGCTGCTCTCTCAGTGTGCCTGGAGACTGGACAGCAGGTAGGACTGACGGAGGGCCATTTTCAGAATCTTATTCAAATGGGGTTATTGAAATGTTGGAATTGGGTTAATCATTGATCAGTTCATTAACCAACTTAAACAAGTGTTGAGCCTCAGGTCATTCAGCCTTGAGGCAGACAGTCTTATAATTCAGGCGGCCGTGTGGAAATGCCCTTCTGCTCCTGTGGCCAAGTGTGGTAGCATTTTGGGAATCTGACTGTAATGCCAGGTGGCAGTAAGTCTCTGTCTGGATCCTACAGGCTACATCTGAGAAAGGATGTCTGGCCCCATAGGGCTTGCAGGTAGCAGATTAGGGTCTCATCATTTGCTGGTAATTTTAATCCACACGTATTTACACCATGTTCTGTGTATGTATTTGGACCCTAGATAGGAATAAACCAAGTTCTTTTTCTCAAAAGGGAAAAAGGGGAGGACAAATACACAAATAATTGACTGAGCACCTGACATGGATAAGCTTTCTTGATGGATGCTTAAGATGGACATTATATGAGGGTAATCCCAATAACATCCCTGTGAGGTTGGTACCATCGCCTGTGAGAGGAAATTGTCGATTGTTGCTTAAATAGCATGTAAATAATGGAGAACAATTTACACAGCATTATCTCTTGGAACCAGGATTCCAGCCTGAGTCTGACTACACATATTTTGTGCTTTCCTCTATGCCATGTTGGTAGTTTATTCTACACTACAATTAATAAACTTCCCTGATTTATTTGGTGTTTTCTACATATCAGCACTACCTGGTAACACAGATTCTAGCACTAAATAATAACATACTTCTACTGGAATGAATGCTGATAGTCTATGAATCTTCTGTATGGTGTTTGTCTCATTTTTAACCTCAGGTTCCTTAACAGCCAAAGAATTTGGCATAGTGATCTCTAGTTGTTAAAATTGTTAAGACATGGGCATTGTTTGCAATGCTCTTTAAATGCATCTGATATCTGTCATTTTTGTTTTTGGAAAAGACAACCCAATCCTGACACCCTTTGACAAGAGAGGTAAATTGACAGTGGAAATAAGCACTGTCCTGTCTGAATAAACTTAAAAGTGTAGAAAATGTTTGTCCGTACTTAAGGAGATAAAGACAGTATTGGTCAGAATCAGATGGTGCATGACAGAATAATCAAGGTTTGCCAGAGCTGTGTATATTCTCTCAGAACAGGGACATGAAGTTTGAGGGCTGGGCGAATAATGAGTGTGGTCAGTCAGATCATAGAAACCAGGTTAAAAAAAAAAAAAAAGTTTTAGATAGCATGTTTCCAGGTATTTGTGCTAACTAAATCAGTCACTAAATTATTTATACTTTGAAAAATAACTCAGAGCCTCAAATTTGGGTAAGGTCCAGAGGAAATTTTTGAATATTTTCATCTGTCTTCTAGGAAGAAACCTTCTTAAATTATTTTACCAGGGAGAGAATGGCTATAATTGCAGAAACCAGAAGTTCGTAGCAGCTTTATGATGACTGAGGCTTGTTGGTTATAAAAATGCTTTGTCCTGAGGATATTAGCCGTAGCCTCGGGAATGATCGTTCTCTTATTTAATTCATGCACAGGCCATGTCGGTGCCCCCATGCCTTGCAATTTTATAAAACTTGTTGATGTGGAAGAAATGAACTACTTGGCTGCCAAGGGCGAGGGCGAGGTGAGTGAAACCCCGTTGGTCACTGACCCGCATGGCCATCTCCCATAATAGCTGGCCACTCTGAGGGCAGCCTGTTCCCAACACGGCTCGATAAAGCTGTGGAGCTCAACTGTACTGGTGATCTTTAGAGTCCAACAGGGTTCTTATTGAAGGTACATTTTTGTTTCACTCCCAAGGGGTCAGAAGACAGATGCTAATGCCTGCCTCCTGCCAGACACGCAGGGATTTGGGCTCCAGAGCGATGCAGAAGCTCCAGTGGCCCAAGTCCTCAGGGCAGCACATCTTCTGTTTGCTGATTGCCCTGGATACCTATTAGGGAGCCACTGTACTGGGTGATTACATCCTCTAGGGGGCTTCCAGCAGCTTTGTGTTGGAACCTAGAGCAGCAAGCATTCGCCCTGTAATTTGATGGCAGCGGAGGTAACAAAGGGACGCAGGGACCTTGGAGGTGCCTCCAGGATCTTGATGGTTTCTGGTAACTCCCTCTGGATCCTGAAATTCAGGGCTTCCTAGTTAAAAGTGGGGACACACCCATACCCCTGTAGTTGGGAGAAGCCCCAATACATGCTATTAACAGATTCTTTTTTTTTTTTTAAAGGTGTGTGTGAAAGGGCCAAATGTATTTAAGGGCTACTTGAAGGACCCAGCAAAAACGGCCGAAGCTTTGGATAAGGATGGCTGGCTGCACACAGGAGACATTGGAAAGTGGCTGCCAGTAAGTTGTCAGCTCTTCTTCTCACACACAGTTTTGTTCCCTGCGGGGGAGAGAATACCCACCAGCTGCACAGCTGCCTTGAAGCAGTGGCACCCTCCATACTCTGTTTCCCTTTTCACTCGGTGAATGGTACGTTGTAGACAGGCTCATACTCTGACCATAATTGTTTAGGAATTTGACTTTAACGCTAGCAAATGTGTTTTGTTTGGAGGCTTAACATTAAATTCTGGTGGCTGCTTCCCACTTGAAATCCAACAAGAATGGCATTTTAAACTATAAGTGCTGCGCCTTGATAGTGGAAATTCCCACAGTTACTTTGTGGCAGGCAGTCAACTGACACTTCCCAAAGAGCCAGGAGTAACCCGGTCTCCCCCAGGGATGATGAAGGATCTGGAATTCTGCCTTAGTGTAGTAAACATTTCTTGAGCCCTTACTTTGTGCAGAGCATGGTGGAAAGATAAGTCTGTGCCTTGCTCTCACAGAACTTGACTTGTGGGCTAGGGATGTGGCTCAGTGGTAAAGCGCCTGGCATGCATGAGGCCCTGGGTTCAAATCCCCAAGCACCAAAAAAAGAACTTGACTCATGGCCAGTCAAAAATGTATGTGCTTGTGGTAGGTGTACACAATGGAATATTACTCAGCCATAAAGAAAAATGAAATTATGGCATTTGCCTGTAAATGAATGAAACTGGAAACTATCATACTAAGTGAAATAAGCCAATCCCTAAAAACCTAAGGCCTAATGTTCTCTCTGATGTATAATTACTCAACAGTAGGTGGTGGGGATTCACTGGACTGGACAGGGAGGATTAGGGGATGGGAAGGGAACAGACAGTAGAATGAATTGGACATAACTTTCCTATGTTCGTATATGAATACCACGAGTGTAACTCACATCATGTCAACCCACAAGAATAGATGTTATACTCTGTGTATTATATGTCAAAATACATTCTACTGTCATTGCATAAGTAAAAAGAACAAATTAAAAAAAAAAAGAAATATAAGTGCCTAATTCAGGTAGGAGGCCAGATGAACGTGCTGAAATAAAGGGAGCAATTGAAGCACTCCTAGTGGGCTGACAATTCACTGTGCCGGGTGGAGAAACAGTGTGAGCATGGTCTCTGGAGTCCCTTTTCTATATCTGTACCTGGCCAAATGGCAAGTTGATAAAACTCTCTAAACCTTAGTCTCCCCTCTCTGTAAAATGGGATGATGACTGGCCTCTCTGAGATGATTTTAGGGTGAAAGGATAGTGCACATGAAATGCCTTGCATTGTGTTGTGATTAATGGGTGCAAACCAGGTCAGGGACCCACTCATAGCCCCTTCCTCTCTGGTAAACAGAATGGCACACTGAAGATTATTGACAGGAAAAAACACATATTTAAACTGGCACAAGGAGAATACATAGCACCTGAGAAGATTGAAAACGTTTACCTGCGAAGTGAACCTGTTGCTCAGGTGTTTGTCCATGGAGAAAGCTTGCAGGTAGGTACTTTCTAGGTTGAGAACTCTGTTGCTAGGCATTGCTAGTGCTTTGGACTGCAGGTGCTTTAAATGTGATTAACAGAGATAAGCGTGCATTGACTTTTGTATCTGACGTGCTAGAATATCATTAACTCAATATATTGACTTTTTTTGTTGCTTGGCATTTCCTGCCCGGAAAAGGTTTTTTTTTTTTCCTCCTTTCTCTTTAATTTCTTGGGGTCTTATTTGTTTTTGTTGTTATTGTTTTGTTTTTATTTTTGTTTGGAGGTACTGGGGATTGAATCCAGGGCTTCACACATGCTATATCCAGTGTACTACATCCTAAGCACCCTCTTTTTTATAGTTTGTTTTGAGACAGATCCAGGCTGGCCTAGAACTTATGATCCTCCTCCCCTGGCCTCCTAGTAGCTGGGATTACAGGCCTGGCTTTTCTCTTTAATTTCTCTATTTTATTTTTTAACTTCAGTGGTCTGAATACCAATGGTAGTATTCAGGATGCTTGGGGTGGATAAATTCCTCATTTAATTATGAAAGAAAATAATGATAATACAATAAAGTTTAAATTTTCAAATCTATTAAATATATCTTATTTATTATATGCCTTCTAAATAATTTTTGAGCAAATGGTAGCTATGAGCCAGGCAAAATCAACATTTCAGTGGGATGTAAATTTGACAAAATGTTGGACAGATGGTGGCAAAAAAAAAAAAAAAAGGATATCTTGTTTCCCAAAAGTTAATCTTTGAACAAATTTTGAAATTAAATTTTTTTTTACCCTAAGCAACTCAGTGATACCCTGTCTTAAAATAAAATATAAAAAAGGGCTGGGGGTGTGGCTCAGTGGTTGAGCACTCCTGGGTTCCATCCCTGGTTCCAAAATAAATAAATAAATAAATAAATAAAACAAAAAAAAGAAAAAGAAGAAAAATCATTTTAGAAGAATATGTTCTTTCTTTTAAGAGAATGACCTTTTTTTTAAGATTGCATCTACTTTTTCTTAATTTGCTTTAGAATCTTACCATGCTTTTGATTTTTGTTCAATTTTATTTTTGCAAAGTTGTAAAGACTGGTATTAGAAAGTTTTATTTTAAAAAGTGACTATAAATTTTTTTCCCACTCTTTTAAAGGCAGTCATCCAATATATCTGTCACCTTGTTTGCCCATTTGACTGTTTTATTTGAATAAAATACTTTTTCTTTGAACAGAATACATGAAAGTAAATTAAAAAAATGGGGTTTAGTTAGACTTTGATTTCTAGTGCTTCTCGTGAAACATTCGTTGCAGAATTCTTGATACTATCTGTATTTCAGGGGCTGGGTGATGGGGTACACTCTGTTCAAGAGAGGGCCCATAGTTTTTGTCATACTTTCCTAGGGTTCCATGATGTGGCAAAATAAAGAACTACTACTTTGGAGCCCTTGGATCAAGCCCTGTAATAACTCACTTGTCTGTGTTCAAGGCCTTTCTCATAGCAATTGTGGTACCAGATGTTGAGATACTGTGTTCCTGGGCCCGAAAGAAAGGCTTTGACGGCACCTTTGAGGAACTGTGCAGAAATAAGGTAAGGCTCTGAAGCATCCAGGCTACCTTCGGTGTCTCCACTCTGTATTAAATGTGCCTGCGGCTCTGCACAGACCTCCAACAGAGGAATGATTTCATTTTTCTTATGTCATTAGGACGTCAAAAAAGCTATCCTAGACGACATGGTGAGACTTGGGAAAGATTCCGGTCTAAAACCATTTGAACAGGTATGACTTTCATTGATGTGAAGATTGTTTGCCAGTGGATTAGAGAAGAGGATAGGGTGACCCAAAGAAATACACGAGGAGTAGCTTGACGGGAGGGTTTTTTACCCCAGGGTGAGCATCCTGTTTTCTTAGGGTCCTGAAACAATCCTGAGTTCTGTCCTAAGGCGACACCATGGACAGGGAGCCTGCAGGGGTCCTCATCCCCTCCGGGGGCTTGCCTGCTGCGGAGACTGTGCAGGTGTGTGCGCATCTTGTGCTCCTCCCTCCTTTAACAACCTTGCTTATTTGCAGGTCAAGGGCATTACTCTGCACCCTGAATTATTTTCTGTCAACAATGGCCTTCTGACCCCAACGATGAAGGCGAAAAGGCCAGAGCTCCGGAACTATTTCAGGTCACAGATAGATGAACTGTACGCCACCATCAAGGTTTAACGGGAGGCAGAGAGCTCGGAAGAAACGGCGCACCGCCACAGTCCCTTCTTCTCTGATGGCCTTCACGTTGGTATTTGACTGCAGCGAGCTTAGGGAAGGAAATGCCCATGTTTGACTTGTCCGTGCGGGGTCTTGTCATAGGAATATTAGAGGAAATGGAACACTGCCTTACAGTCACCTGGCGTCGCAGACCATGTTCATGGTGAAACACAATTTCCAAAATGAGCCTTAAAAATTGTAAAGGGGAAATTTATAAAAGTGCTAAGTTATTTAAGACTTCCTCAGTTAATAATAAGGTGGGTGTTAAAACTTCTTGTCTCCCTGTTTTTCTAACCAAGGGGTTAGGACTGTGCTGTTTTCTGAGATGTCTGCTACTTGCTGCAAAATCCTGCGGCTGTCTGCTGCTCTGGCTAGTGCAGTGCACTGGGGGGAAGTTGTCCCCTTAAGAACTAGAGCAACTGTCCTGGCTGGAGAAGGTCACAAGTGGACCAGAGATTTCGTCTTCATTTCTTTTTCTTTTTTTTTTTTTTTTTTTTTTTTTAATCCCTGCCACCTTCCCTTACCCATCTCTCACAACCCTTCCGATTTCTAAGGGTTCACAACAGTTCCCCTGTTGATCCTGCTGGGACATAAATTTCTCAGTAAACCAAAGGACAGATCCACTTCAGAACATTGTGGGTGCTGAGTCTTGGAAGAAGGGTGGCTTGTCAGAGCAAAATGGCTTCTCACTCGCACAGCAGGATTCTTCTGGACTACTCCAGATCTGGTTCCCTCCCTCCATCCTTCCCAGGGGTTATTAAAGAAAAAAAAAAAAATCTGCCTTAGACTCTACAGTGAAGACAGCATTTCAAGAAAGAATCACCTGGATCTACCACGCTCAACTGTGATGCCTGAATAACTCTCTACTTGATCCTTACTGAACTACTCACTGTTTGTAATGGCCAAGGGTTTTTAATGTGGTTTTCCTATCAAATGTTGATGTAGTGATTCAGTCGCTTCCCCTGCCCCCAAAATGAACTCTCAGGCAAAACGTGTCTGCAAAAATATTAAGGGAGTATATACGCTTGGGTACTTATTGAAACGGACCGTAATAAGCGAATGTTCTTATATGGTAATACTACCTGACCTCTAGGAAATGGATTTGACAAGCCAAAATTCTGGGATGTAGAAATATGGGGGGGAAAAAAAAAGATCACTTCCTGGTTTTAACTTCTCGAGGATTTTTTTTTTTTAAAGTTAATTTGGGAAATTAACAGCATTTCGCTTTATTGACCGTCTTTGCCACATTTGACCGAATCGAGCCGTCGTTTATACATTTAAAGCCACTGTTGTTGGATATGTGAGAGTACATGTATTATACAAGCACAACAGGGTTTGCACTAAAGAATTGTCATTGTAATAACACTATTTGGTAGCCTAACTTCATATGTGTGTTCTTAATTGCACAAAAAAAAAATCAATAATTTGTCACACTGGAGTTTTGAATGTTTGCTTTACGTGTTGGCTATTTCTATGTTTTATAAACCAAAAACAGAATTTCCAAAAAACAATGAAGGAAACCAAAATAAATATTTCTGCATTTCAAGTGAGTGAAGGATCTCTCTTGATGTCAGGTTTAACACATGGGACGGCCTGTGATGTGTACAAGCAAAGAGGAAGAATGGCCCTGAGCTTCACATCCCTCCCATGAGTTTCCTGCCCTGCCCAGGTGTCTTCCTCTAACTCAGTCATTCTCGGGCACTTCCACACTCTGACCTGAGCCTACTACCAGGTTGTCTCTGACAACAGTCCTAATGTGTTGTGGAGAAGAAAATCATGCTGTGGATAACATGGACATTCCTGAATGGAACTTCTTGGTTGAATGCTACATTTCAAGAGACATTGGCAGTGATTAGTCATGAGGGTGGAGGGTGGTTAATTCTGTTATCTTTTAATAATTCTCTTACTATAGAACTATTTCAGAAGATATCTCAGATATAGCAGCTAACTTTTCCTTTTTTCCTCTATCCCTGTCTTACTCCCTGTTACCATTTTAAAAATTTCCTTTTCCATGGATATTAATTAACTCCTAATTTTTTCCCCAAGCTTGTTGTTTTAAATCAATCTTCCTTTGTCACTTAAGTTTTTATGTTTAGTGTGTTTTGTTTGTTTTCCTTCCTCTGAAGCCCAAGCCCTACGCACATGTTACTGATAAGGCTTGTCTTAGCCCATTTTTCTGTTGCTTTAAAAAAATACCAGAGACTGGGTGATTTGTAAAGATTAAACATTATTTAGCTCATCATTCTGGAGGCTGGTAAGTCTAAAAGCATGATACTGGCATCTGGTGAGGGTCATCTTCCTGTGGGACTCTCGAGTCCCAAAGTGGTACTGGATATGGTGGCAAAAGAGTCCACAAAAGCTAACCAAGCTGACTTATGTCAGACTCTTGTGGTAACTAACCCACTTCCCTATTGCCCATTGTGTATGAATGGGTGAACCCATTCCTCAGGGCAGGGGCCTTATGACCCAATCCCCTCCTAAAGGTTTCCTCTAATTATCAATAACATAGGACTTTGGGAATTAAATTTCCTTTTTTTAGGGGGAGGGGGAGTCCTGAGGATTGAACTCAGGGCCTCATGCATGCCAGGCAGGCACTCTAAAACTAAGCTAAACACTTAGTCCTTGGGAATTAAGTTTCCAACACATGAATTCCGGAGAACAAATATTCAAACTCTAGCAAGGTTCCTGGATCATTCTGCCTTCTTTAGTTATTAAAAGCCTTGTCTAATCTTGTCTTAAATATTTATTTATATGTGGTGCTGAGAATTGAACCCAGGGCCTCCTCACACATGCTAGGCAAGCCCTCTACCACTGAGCTACAACCCCAGCCCAGTGCACATGGTTTTGATTGCTATCTGATGGTTTTCCTAACTCTCTTCCCTAACTACAGTCTGAGGTTCTTGGGAATAGGCATTACCTTCCTTTTCCCTCCCTTAGCACCTGAACAAATGGCTTATAAACCAATAGATGTTCATTAAGTAAGCCTTTTAAACAGATGCTTGAAATTTTGAAAGTTCCTCTTGCCACTGGGTCAAAAATAAACGCGGGGGCTTGTTTGATTATGGTGAAATACACATACAGTTGCCATCTTAACCATTTTTCAGCATGCATTTCAGCAACAAATACACACACATTCTTGCTGTCTTCTCATCCATTCACAAAACTTTTCATCTTGCAAAGAAGAAGCTTTTCATCTACTGAATAACTCCTGCATCTCTGTTTCTGTGACCGTGAGTAAATACCTCCTTCAAGTGGAATCTCACAGCAATGCATAAAAGTTCTGTTTTCCTAAATCCTCCCTAACCCCTGTTTTATGTTTATGTGGTTATTTTGTTTGTTTTCTTATTATCCTAATGAATATGAAATGGTATCTTGTTTTGATTTGCCTTTCCCTTATGATCATTGATGTCGAACATCATTGTTTGATGGCCATTTGTGTCTCCTCTTTGGACAAATTTTTATTCAAATCCTTTGCCTGCTCTAACACTGAGCTACATCCCTCGCCTTTTTTATTTTTGATTTGAGACAGGGCCCCGCTAAGTTGCCTGAGCTGTCCTTGAGCTTGTGATCCTCTTGCATCACTGGAATTACAAGTGTGCACCACCATGCCCAGCCAACCATTTTTAAAATTGGGTTCTTTGGGGTTTTGTGTTATTGAGTTACAGGAGTTCTTTGTATATGCAGGCTATTCATCTGGAAACACTGTTTTTTTAATTCTTAACTTTCATGGTGCATTGATTGGGATCAGTGCCTGCTCAGCAGCACTGAATATACAATGGAACTTCTTCCTACAAATCAAAACTGCACCTCAAAAGCCCACTGGTCTCTTTCTCTCTCTCAAACCCTCCTCTTTAGTCAGTACAGAAAACAGGAAATATGATTGACCACAGCTGGGTTTTGCCAGGCAGAGGGGCAATCGTTTCTTCCAACCAGGCCTCCTGCATCTGCATGTTAAGCTTCTTTCAGCAGCTGACACACAAGCTGGTTCTGGTGGAACTGAGCCAGGAGGCCCGTGTGGGGAAGTGGTGGCAGCCCAGCTGGCCCCAGCAAGGACACACCCTCGCTTTATTTCTAAATTGGAAAAGCAGTTTGTTTTTAAGTATATTTGATGTTCAGTAAATATTGTTGCCTTTCTCCCTGGCTTTACTTAGGAGAATAATAAACTAAAACGTACAGTGTTGCTGCACACCAAGCACATTTTACATAGATTAGCCCTTTGTATATTTCCAACCTTTTGAGCCGATTTCTGCCTGTATCCCCAATTTGCAGATGAGCAAATCAAAGCACACACACGTTTTGATCCTCATCATGCACCTAGACGTAATAGAGCTGGCAGTCTGGCCGCAGAGGACCCTTCACCTCAAGCTACAGATGGCTCTTCTTTCTTCTCTGTTTATGGCAAGGTCTACTTCCAAACTGAGCATTGGTGCACGTGGTTTGGTTTTTTGGTTTTTTGTTTAGTATTTTATGAATTGTTGATGGACTTTTATATTTATTTATATGTGGTGCTGAGAATTGAACCCAGGGCCTCACACATGCTAGGCAAGCGCTTTACCACTGAGCCACAACCCCAGCCCAGTGCCCATGGTTTTGATTGCTATCTGATGGTTTTCCTTTGTCATAGCAGAGGCTATTACCACTTTTATTCTGGATTTATGACTTAAATTAAAAGTCAACAATTATGTACAACCCCAAATTCACCAAGGACCAAAAAGCTGGATAGAACCAACCACTGCCTGTTAGGAAGAAAATTTGCATCAAGCTGGGTCACAGACATTTTGCAGGTTCATGCTGTTCCTTAGAACTTGTAGAAATTTCCAACTTTGGAGGTGATAACAGCTACAGATATTGTGGATTTAGTATGCAGAAACGCATACTATGCTATTTACCTACACGTTTAATTCTTCCCAAAACCCTGTTGGGTAATCAGTCCATAATTATGTATTTGCCATCTGCTAAGTGCCAGGCCCTGTTCTATAGGGACGCAGCAGTGAGCACAGCAGACCCCATTCTTGCCCTGGAGAAGCTCAAAAATGGAGATAGACAGTAGTAAGGAGCAAATGAACAATTTAAGATTGTGATAGATGCTTTGAAGAAAACACTTGTATTAACATTGTTCATTTTTAAGTGAGGTGGTCAGGAAAAGTTTCCATAAGGAGATAACATGGAAGGTGATAACCTGAAGACTGAACAAGATTCAGCTTGCAAAACTTTGGGGAAAGTTTTCAAATAAAATAAATGGTGAGGGTTTGGAGTTGTAGCTCAGTGGTAGAGCACTTGCCTAGCACATGTGAGGCCCTGGGTTCAATCCTCAGCACTACATAAAAATAAATAAAGGTATTGTATCCATCTGTAATTTAAAAATCTTAAAGAGTGAGCCCAAAGGCCCTGGGGTGAGAAAGCTCAATATATTCAAAGAACTGAAAGGAAGCTGATAAGGCTAAAGCATCATAAGCAAGGGAAAGAAAGGAACCACCCAGTAGCTTGGGAGGCTGAGGTAGGAAGATCACAAGTTCAAAGCCAGCCTCAGCAACAGCAAGATGCTAAGCAACTCAGCAAGACCCTGTCTCTAAATAAAAAATACAAAATATGGCTAGGGATGTGGCTCAGTGATTGAGTGCCCCTGAGTTCAATCCCCAGAACCAAAAAAAAAAGAACCAAAAGAAGTTAGAGATTCCTGATAATCTGGGCTGGTAGCCCTGAAAGAAATCTCAATTTTACTCTGAGCTCAGGTGGAAATCATTGAAGGCTTTTGAGGCAAAGAGGTATATTCCCTGGGTTACCCATCTGGAAGACAAACTCTGGCTGCTTTGAAAAGATCTAGAGAATGATAAGAACAGAAGCTTGAAGAAGCAGGTAAGGACCATAGAGAGAGGATCGCTTCTTGAACTAGGCTGGTGGGAGTGAAGAGAACAAAAGAAAACGGGAAAGTGATTTGGAGGCAGAAGTACTGCATACGGGGACTCAGAAGAAGCGAAGGTTTGGGTATAAGCGTAGCTGGTAGAGTTGTGCACACGGAGATGGGGAAGACTCGGAGGTGCATACACTTAAGGGGGAAGGACTCCAGAGCTGGCATTTGGATAGTTTTCATTTTAAGTTCCTGCTAATAAAGATCCAGATGAACCTGTAGCTCAGAAGACACATGGAGCTGGAGATAGCAATTCGGGAAGTCATAGCTAGAGAAGGTATTAGAGCTGCGAGACCTCATCAGGTAACCTGGAAGATGTGTGGATGAGCAATAAAGGGGGGCCTCAAACCTAGCACCGAGGGTCTCTGATATTTGGAAGTTTAAGGAGCCACAGTGGGGGGTGAGAATTACCTCTGTGCATCAAGGTGGAAGAGTGTAAGCGTGGTAGGCCTGAAGCTAAGAGAGCAAAGTGCTTGGGAAGATGGTAAGGGGCACTAATTCTGCCACATGCTGTTGGAAGGTGAAATAAGGTGGGGACACAGTAAAGGGTGGCAGCTGTGAAAATAACTTGTTTCTGTGGAGCAGGGAGGATGGTGCTGTGGGGCAGTGGCTGAGACATGAACTCCCAGGAGTAGCAA